GGTTTGTAATTTTCTGTGCCAGATTCTCTCTGGGGGGGAGAAACCCTTCTGGGAAGAGTCTTTAATAACTTCTGCCGCCCAAGGAATTAGCTGCAGGCCCCGAAGGCTGAAGGGGAGGGTATGTGCGTGCATGCACGCCAGGGATCGCATGCCTGGGGAGCACGGGAATGCGAGGGGGTGTCACACAATGAGGAGGACATCTGCCCCCAGCCCAGCCTCAGCCCCAAGGCAAGTCCCTCAGTCCTAGGGCTTCAATGCCCTGACCCCATTAACCAGGCTTGCACAGGGGGAGCCCAAACCCCATGGCTCTCTCCAGCCTCCTGGCTGGGGTGCAAGGAAGGAGACAGCCTGTCCATGCCATGTTGCCTGTCTGAGCTCTGGACCCTTCCAGGGCCTCTGTTTCCCCATAAATAAAACAAAGGGGTTAGACACAATGATATTCCCAGTCTCTCTTTTTTTTTTGAAATAATTTTTATTGATTTTGAGAGAGAGAGTACAGGGAGAGCGATGGAAAGAAACATCGATGAGAGAGGAAGTCATCGATTGGCTGCCTCCTACAAGGATCTCGCTGGGGATAGAGCACACAACTCAGGCATGTGCCCTGACCAGGAATTATGTGCCATAACCGGGAATCAAACCGGCGACCTCTTGGCTCCTGGGTCAATGCTCAGCCGCTGAGCCAGACCAGCCAGGCCCCAGTCTCTTTTAAACCCAAGCCTCTCTGACATGCTTTCTGGGGCTCTGGCAAAGTTTTTTAATTTTTGGAATTGGTGGCATTGAGATATTGGGTGGTTTGTCTTGGAAATCTGGGTTCCCAGCAACATTCCTATAGAGCAGTGTTTCCCAAACTTTTGACATATGTGTACCCCTTCTATAATTTTCGTAACGCTACCTCTCGTACTCGAGAGAACGTAGAATTAGGCGCAGCTAAACATGGTGCAGTACATATACCCCCCAAACTCCGGTGCAACACGTACCCCCACCAAACTCTTCCCGTACCCCTGGGGGTGCGCGTACCACACTTTGGGAAACACTGCTGTAGAACAACCATTGGAAGGGACTGATGGATGCCGCCCCAGAGGTGAGCAGAGCCTCTCCATCTTGCCACAGCGTCTCTGTCGGGCAGCCGGGCCTGCCTCACCCTCCGGCCCTGTGTGTGAGAGTTTTTTGCCCTAAAGGTTAGCTGTTCCTGCTCTGGGCTCTCCCGCTGTCCTGGACAGTCACGTTGTCTTTTAAAGGCACCTTAACATGGACCTGTTTCTCTACACCCTAAATGGGTAAATACCCCAGGCTTTTAGGTCAACCAATTGGGTCCAAATCCCAGCTCTGTCCTCAGGCCTGGCAAGCCATTTAGCCTCTGAGCCCGATCTGTGAGATGGGTGACATAGAGACTGTGCCTCTTGTAGGGTTGTGCTGTGGACTAAGACAACACAGAGCAAGCTCTGAGCGCTGTGCCCAGCAATGATGAACACCCGTCTGTGCACACCCTCAGTGCACCTGTGCACAGCCCTCGCTCAGGATGGGACCACGGTAGCAATGCAGTCGATGCTGCTAGATGAAGGAAGCAGTGGCCAGGGAGACCCGACCTGGGGAACGGATGCATTTGCAGAATACAGGCGGCAGCAGGCCAGACCAGTGTGTGGAGGGAGGAAAGCCTTGTCTCCACGTAAGGGCAGAATGTGGAGTAAGAGCTGGCAAAGCCAGCCACCTGGGTCTTCAGATGTTACCTTGGCGCCACCCTCTGGATGCAGCGTGCCTCACACCTACCCACCTCTCAGGCAGGAGAGGACCCTAGTGGGTTTATCCTCCGCACTTATTTGTAGAATCGGCAAGACCCTTAGCTCTGCTAGGGCCCCAGGCCTCCATTACACACCTGGAATGGGGGGCTGGGGGGGAGGGGGCGTCCCAGAACCAAAGAGTAACTTTCCCAGGGTCCCAGAACCCTCGCTGGTTCCACTTACAACACAGAACTCGCTACAGCTGCCAGGAAGATCAGCCCCGGCCCGCCCCAGCCGGGTGCTCAGTGGTTAGAGTGTCAGCCTGCCGACTGCAGGTCCCGGATTTGGTTCCGGTCAAGGGCAGGTACCTCCATGGCAGGCTTCATCCCCTGCCTCCGTCTGGGCACATGAGGGAGGCAACCAACCAGTGTGTCTCTCTCACATCAGTGTTTCTGGCTCTCCCCCTCCCTTCCACTCTCTCTAAAAATCAATTTCAAAAAAATATTCTCAGGTGAGGATTAACAAAAGGAAGATCAACCCTGTCCTTTGGTCAGAGACCTCAAGATACACAGCAGACCCCCTTACAACACAGGGGACACACTCCAAACCCTCAGGGGACTCCTGAAAGCACAGGTAGGACCAAACCCTGTATGTTCTACCTACTATTTTGTTTCCTATATATAGACATATATATGCCTGTGATAAAATTTAATTTATAAGTCAGGCACAGTAAGAGATCAACAACAATAGCTACTAATAAAATGGAACAATTTTAACAACCTACTGTAATAAAAGTCATGTGAATGTAGTCTCCCTCCCTCTCTCTCTGATAATGGATCTGATAACGGAGACAGCTTCTGACGAACGCGTGGAGAGTGTCCACAGGGTAGTGTGCTGGACAGAGGGATGATTCATGTCCCAGGAGGGATGAAGCAGACAGCGCAAGGTTTCATCACAAATGCTCAGGACAGCACGCGATTTAAAACGTACGAATTGTTCACTTCTGGAATTTTCTATTTTTAAATGTTTGGACCACAGATGCCATAGGTAACCGAAGCCACAGATAAGGAGGGCTGCTGTACAAAAGCATACTTTTTTAAAATATATTTTTATTGATTTTTTAACAGAGAGGAGAGTGATAGTTAGGAACATTAATGAGAGAGAAACATCCATCAGCTGGTTCCTGCACACCCCCCACTGGGGATGTGCCCACAACCAAGGGACATGTCCTTGACTGGAATCAAACCCAGGACTCTTCAGTCTGCAGGCCGATGCTCTATCCACTGAGCCAAACCGGTTTCAGCAAAAGGATACTTTCTTAGGCGTGCGCTCTGCTGGCTCTGAGGGGGGCTTCTCCCAGAAGCAGAATCGGGGCCGAGGAAGGAATGCAGGCAGTGTATTCGGGAGTTGAACCCCGATAACACTAATGGGGCTGGGGGATGAGACCAGGAAAGGAAGGAAGCCAGTGCAGAGGGGCAGCTGGGGCTTCGTCCCTCTAGGGAACCCATGAGACACTGAAGACCATGCGTCAGGTCTGTCCCTCCCCGGGGCAAGGAGGCTGGGTCCCTCACCCTCCAGCTCTCAGGCCTAGTTGGTTGACTGTGCCCCATGATATGAACTCCCCGGGCATACCTGACCTGCCCTGCACCTCCCCCAGCCATGTTTTCAAGACCAGGGAAAGCCTCGAGGCAGATGACCCACGTGCTTGCAATAGAAAACCAACTGCTGATCCCCAACTCTGAATGGCAACTGCAAGTTCTCTGAGTGCGGCCCCTGGACCGGCGGCAGCAGCATCTCCTGGGACACCGGTCAGAAATGCAAACCCTTGAGCTCTACCCCAGACCCGTTCCATCAGAAACCCTGGCCGTGGGGCCCAGCAATCTGTCCTCTGGTGACTCTGATACGTGCTCCAGACTGAGAACTCCGGCCCAGAGGCAGACAGCGCTGTCTCCATTTGCCCGACAGGGAACCTGAGATGCTAAGAGATGAAAAGCAACCCGCCGATGAGCGGCCGCACAGGTGGGGGTCTTTTGTCTCTGTCCTCCACGCTGGCGTGCACAGAAAGGAACGCTAGCATTTGGACTCAAGGTATGGGACGAGGGTGAGGTCCCCACCCCATGGCACCGCCACTTTGCTCCACTTTCTGAACCAAACTCTCCACCTGGTGCCTCCAAATGGCTCTCGGAGCTCTCCCGGGAAGCCTGCCAAGCCAGGTGCCCTCTCTGGATCCCAAGCTGCCCCCACAGCCTTCACCGGGGACAAGCCCTCTCCACCCCCGCCCTCCAGGCAATAAGACACATTAGGGAAATCAAATCAGCTTCTTAAGGGGGTGGGGGCAATCCCGGGGTTAAACCAGCCTGGCCTCATCCACACCGAGAATCTCAATCCTTGTGCCAGGGCTTTGCATTGCTCTTCCTTCTCCTCCTTGTCCTACACCCTTCCTTCCCTCCCGCCACTCCCCTCCATCCCCTCCCCTCTGCTCCTACTCCATCTGCTGCTCCTCCTGGCCAGGCTCCCCCTCAGTTGGCACAGCAAGAAAAGAGAACAGGGTGTTTATTTTTATCCTAAGATGCTGCTGGGGGAAGGGGTGCCATCTGACTGAGAAGCACAGCTCCTGTAGCCATTGGGAGGTCAGGAGGAGGTGGGAGGCCCAAGACCTCCCTGGGAAGGAGCCACAGACCTGGGTTCCAGAGACCAGGCAGGTCTGGGAGAAGCAGTGCGGGACCAGGAGCGGGGAGCTCTGAGTAGCACCATCACAAACTGCTGTGCAACCATGTGCAAGGTGCTTGCTGTCTCTGGGCCTCTGTTCCCACCTGTTCAAGAGGGAGGGACGGCGAGCCCTGCCTGTCCCCAAGGCTGTTCTGTGCATGTGAATGAAATGGAGAGAATCCTTTGCAAACACGATGCCAAATGGGAGCACATGTGGAGAGGGGGGCAGCCTGAGGACATGCTTCTTCAGCCTCCAAACATGCCCTCGTTCTGTGAGACTGACAGCAAACGTAGCCGCTCATGTCACCCAGCGTGTCCACCCCCGGTTTTTTTCACGTTTGGTGACTTCAATTACATAAGCAGTATGTGAATTCACTCTCCTTTTCAGGGGAGGGGGGAGGGATAAGGCCTTCGGAAAAAGTCAGATCTTTACCAGCCCTCCCCCCGAGCCTTCTTTCCCAACCCGGACATCACAACTGCGATCTGCATCCTTCCAGAACCGTGTTATACCTGCATCGACGGCCTATATTGTCTGGACACATACCCACACGTGATGGGTCCTATTGTTTAGGGGTATGTGCTTTTAAAAAAAATCCCTGCCCGTCATTCTGCAGCCTGTTGTTTTTTTCCATGACAGTGCCTTTGAGATGCTGTTACATAAATATATTACCATTTTATTTAGCCAGCCCCCTGGTGGTGGACAGTTAAGCTGCTTCCAGTTGTTCCCAGTCCCAAACGACCCTGCGGTGATCTTCACGTAGATGTCCCCTGAGCCTATACAGACCACGTGGGCCCCGGACGGCTGGGCTGGAGGGTTCGATGATGTTACTAGATGCCCTCCCTCGTTCCCCCCTCCCCCCGCAAAAAAGCTTTGCTTCCATCTTTAAAAGCAAGTAGGGAGACTGAGCAGGCTCCTGGCTGGAGTAGGGGATTCCCCTGAGTGAACTGTGCAGGCAGAGGGGGCCGTGCCCGGCGCCAGCCCCTCGCCCTCATGTCACAGCTGCAGCTCCAGGCTCCGCGGCCACGTCACGTTTGTCCATCTGCTGCCGTGCTCCCGGGCACGCGCAGCCTCACTGTCTCTCCTGCACGGAGATGCGGCTCTCTTTGCCGTCCTCCTGCGCCACCGGCTGGCACCAGTGCAAGGTCTCCTGCACGGGGCAGGTGCCAGGAAGGTACTCCATCTCCACAGGAACTTGCCCTTTGCCCTCGGGGTCCTTAGGGCGGGGGCGGCCAGCCTGGTGAGCCAAGGGGTGAGGTTATCCTCAGCAACACCCCTGAGGAGCTCTCCCCACGGAGGGGATGCTCCCCAGGCCCTCTCCCCTGCTTCCCCACTCAGGGCGGGTTCCATGGGCGCCTCCTGCCCTCTGCTGGCCACACTGAGGGTGTCAAGAAGCTTCCAGTGGGTTCCAGGAGGTGCCCTTCCGGTCTGGCCCAGGGCCTGCACCAAGGCCCCAAAATAGTTCCCCACGAATGGGATGCCAGGAAAGCACAGCAAATGACACCATTGGCTTTTTGGCGCCAGGGCAGCTCTATGGAGACGTGAGCTCTGGGGATGACAAAGGCTGGAGCTGAGGGAGGGGATGGGAGGAGCTCTGGATCCCAGGAATGGGACTGGGGGGTCAAGAGGCAGAGAAGCCAGTTCTGCTGTCACCCCACTGGCCACAGGGCAGACCCCGCGTCAGGTTTACTGCCATAAAGGCAACAGAGAGTCCATCTTCTTTCCAGCTTGCCAAATTCAGAGCCAGTGCCCGGGGGCGACCTACCTTGATGGGGAACTTCCCTAGAGAGAAAAAAATAAAGGGGTGGGGACTTAGTGGAGAGGCCAGATAAGGAAACAGGCAGCCAGGTCTACCTGACCTTCGCCTCCCTCCCGGCCTTCCCAGTCACCTCCCGGAGACTCACAGAAGCAGGCTGACACCAGCAGGAGAGTCACAAGGACGGCTGCGATGGGGATCACCACCAGGAATCTCTGCCGATGCTTGGTGTCTAGAGAGATGGAGACTGTTCCCACCCCCGTGCCCAAAGCTGCTGGGCCCTCCCGGACTCTAAATCCTTCTGTGCCTGAACTCATCCGCTGGCAGGCTGCCAACAGGGGGCCCCGGGGGAACGTGGCCAGCAGAGGTCTTTAGTGTGACCAGCACATCTTTAAATTATGTTAAACATTTTAATTGGGGGGCGACTGCAGATTTAAAATCTAGATATCTGGTTTCTCTTAGAAGGGTGGAAATCTAGCCCCATTGGACCAGCTGCCACTCCCCCCCCCACCCCAACCCCCCAACGCTCGGCACTCACTGGCCAGAACTGAGTGCTGGGGCTCTCCACTGCTCACCATATTCCCCCTCCCTCCCCACTCTGGGCCCAGTGCTGAGGACCTGTGTCCTCATCCTCGTCCTCCTTTATGTCTGCACTGTTGCCTGTGCTATGGAAGAATAGAGGAGAAATTAAAGTGTTTCTTGTACCTAAATTTCCATTCCAAATGAGAGAAAGTGAAAGAAAGACTAGGAGTCACGGCAGGGACTAGGGTGAGGCACACACCTTGGGACAAAATTTAAAGGGATACAAAAAGAAAAACAAACATTCAATAATCAAGATAAGTAATATTTTAATGTCATGTTTTTAAAAATCAAATCACCAAATTATGGCCCACAGGTTGGCTGCCTGGTTTTTTTAATAAAGTTTTGTTGTGTTTTTTTTTTGTTGTTGTTGTTGTTTTTAAGCCAGGGCCAAAATTAGGCCTAGGCAAATCAGGCAGGGTCATGCAAATGCAAGGTTGGACCACAGCATTCGTTAAAATTTTATAGTTTGTTCATTATGGATTTTGTTTTGTGTTGGCTTTTTTTTCAATATTACAAGATATTGCTTATCTTGCCCTAGCTGGTTGGGTTCAGTGGATAGAGCATGGTCTGCAGACTGAAGAGTCCCAGGTTTGATGTGGTCACGGGCACAGACCTCAGTTGCAGGCTCAGTCCTTGGCCTCAGTCCAGGCGTGTGCGGGAGGCAACCAATCGATGTGTCTCTCTCACATCGATGTTTCTCTCTGTGTGTCTCTCCCCCTCCCTTTCACTCTCTCTAAAAATCAATGGAAAAATACCCTTGAATGAGGATTCACACACACAAAAAAAGTTATTTATCTTGATTACTGCATTTTTTAGGCACCCCTTTAAATAGTGTGTCCAAGGTAAATGCCTCGCTCACCCAGCCCTGCCAAAAGGAAGATGAATATTAAAAAAAAAAAAAAAAAAAAGCAAAGAGTGCATTTTTCTCACCTCTGACCTTTTTCGCTTATTAATATGACCTGCCTAGTCCCTGTAGGTATTTGAGTCTGTGATCTGTGCTGTAGGCCAACCCCCTCCCACTCATTGTCTCTGTAAGCCTCAGGCTCCGCTAGTATTTCCCTACCTCCCTAGCCTGCCGCCAGGACCCATTCTCCAGGACTCACCACAGACAGCATCTGTCTTGTTAGTCCCTGCCCGCAGCTCCACCAGGCCTTTGATCTCACAGCTATGTGGACACAGAAGTGCACACACATACATACAGAGAGTGAGAGAGAGAGAGAATGATATTTTAATATATACAGAATAATTATATAAGCATTTATAAACATAGATTATAAGTATAAAGAGCAAATCATTTGTAGATTATAACTTGAAAACAAGTCCATCAACTCAGACTTCAAAAGCAAGGCTAAATAATGTATGTCATATCATGTATCATGTGCTTTTTCTAAAAACATTACTGAGTTTGCCCTAAAAATAGAAAATAAATTATTCAAAAAACCTTTAAAAAAGAGAGAGAGAATGAGACATTAAGTTTCCCAACCATAAGATTTCCAAACCCAGAGGGAGACCATCAACAGCCAACAAGTCCAGGTTCACTCAGCACCTATGTTATGTAACCCTCCTGTGCTGGTTACAATGCAAACTCTGTTCTATGCACGCATGAGGCCAGAGGAAAGATTATTATGCATCTTGAAGGGGTAATATTTGGAGTGTCTAATGAGTGCCAAACCTTGTGATATAGGCTAAAGTGAACTGGGAATTGTTCAGAGAAGAGGAAATGGAATAGGCAATGGCAGGAATGGAGAGATGATCCCATTTGGTTTACAACAAGGCTTCTCAACCTCGTCGGCCCCACTGACATTTTGGGCCACATGACTCTGTAATGGGGTCTGTCCTGTGCACTGTAGGATGTGTAACGGCATTTCTGGCCTCCACCCACTAGATATCAGTGGCATCCCCCTTCCCAATCTTGGCTCCAGATATTGTCAGAATTGCTTAGTTGAGAACCTCGGGTTTAAGGGTCATCCAGAAAGACTCCCCTGGAGAAGTGAGGTCTGAGTCAGCCTAACTTAGAGCAGCAGTACATTCCCACTGAGCAGGACAATGTGATACAGAGATTAGGTGGGTGACATGCCAGATGCGTTATGGAACCATGGAAAAGCTGTGTCTTTAGAACCAGATCACTGATAGAATCAGATCATTGCTAGTCAGCGAGGAAGGTTTCAACCGGATTCAGCTGTGAGTCATATCAGCATCTAATCAGATGACTTAAGTCACGGAAGGACTCAGCTGGCCAGAGATCTCACAGGAGAAATCAGAGAAGTGGCCAGCCAGGAGGCCAATGAAGGAGTCCAGATACAGAAGAGCAGGTCCAACATGTTCGGAGGAGGAGGAGGAGGGGGAGGAAGAATGGTCGGAGAAGGACGTCACAGAGAAAAAAAACATCTCCAGTGGGGGGAAGAGAAAGGCACTTCAAAGAAAGCATATACATGAGGAGTGAGTTTATGAGCTCACAAAACACTTCTACAGGTCTTTCCCTCAAGCCTCATGAGACAAAGGTCATTCCCAACTTCCAGCTGAGGACCCTGAGGCTCAGAGAGATGAGGGTCACACACTGACACAGGGCCACGCCCTTCCTAAGCTGCAGTGCTGATTCTACTGCCCCAACGTGCCACCGTTCGTCAGTCAACATGCCAGTACAAATGTATTGAGCACCTACTATGTTCTAGGCACAGGTCTATGCATAAGGGATGTATCAGTGGAAGGGGAGGAGAGCAGCCACATCTCTACATTTAAGGAGTTTGCGATCTATTAGAGAAAGGCAGACAGCAAACAAATGACCAAGTATATACGAGATGCTACAATGCGTGTGGACAATAAGCATTTGCACATGAGCACGTATGTGTTTGTCTGTGGGAGGACATGCAAGGAACAGTATCTGCCTCCAAGAAGCACTGGGTGGCTGAGGGACGGAGTGAAAGGGAGACATCAGCTGAGACCGGTTTGGCTCAATGGATAGAGCGTCGGCTTGGGGACTGAAAGGTCCCGGGTTCGATTCCGGTCAAGGGCATGTACCTTGGTTGCGGGCATATCCCCAGTAGGGGGTGTGCAAGAGGCAGCTGGTCGATGACTCTCTCTCATCGATGTTTCTAGCTCTCTATCTCTCTCCCTTCCTCTCTGTACAAAACCAATAAAATATATTTAAAAAAAAAAAAAAAAAAAAGGGAGACATCACTGTAGGCCCTTCTGCACCTTCTATCTGAGGTGCCTATCTTACCCATTTTTTAAAATTAAATGTAAAAAGTTAATGGGGCATGTATTAAAGCGTATTCCAGCTAGAAGAGTCTGATGTGAGAGCATGAACGGTATGTTGAGGAGATTACAAGTAGCAGGATGTGGGAAGAGGTCAAGATATGGAGCTGGAAGGTCAGAAGCCATGCCAAAGAGTCTGGGTTTTGACCTAAAGGCCCAGAGAGCCGTGAAACATTGTAAATAAGGAGTACTATTGATCTCAAATGAACTGCAGAAAAGCACACGTTGGCAAGTGAAGGGAGAAGCAGATGAAAGGGGGAATCTAGAGGTGGGGAGGTCAATGAGGAGGCTAAGGCACCATTCAGCCCACGGTGATGAGGCCCAGGCTAAAATGGCAACATGGAGATAGTGAGCAGGAGGAGTCTTCCAAAACATCTGGAAGGCAAGGAGGTGACTGATTTGGGGGGGGGGGGGGCACAATGGGACAAGTGCCCAGAGGCACGGTGGTGGCTTTCACCGAGGGTGAGCAGGAAGGTGAGCCCATTTGGTGCCTGTGGGTCCCCTGCATGGAGGTGTACCCTCAGCCATTGGATGTGACAGTCTGGAGACAAATCTAGACAAGAGAAGTTGATGGAAAACCACCCGAGAGAGATGGTAGCTCAAAGCCATGAATATGGATGGGGTGTTCCAGGGGAGGCAGGCAAAGTGATTAAAAAGCAGAGCAGAACGAAGGCCTAAGAAGCCAGTTAAGGAGGACCAGAGGAGGGAGAAGGAAAGGAGGAGAGGTGTCACCATGCACCTCTCTTTTCTTGGGTAAGAAAAGAGAGTTTCACAAAGTTGGAGAGATCAACAGTGTCTATTACCACCAACCGACAAGAAAATGCTAAAAAGTGCCCACTTGGCCAGTTGTCCATAAGGTCACTCTGATGTTTCACACATATGTAGCGTGTGTGGACGTGGGAGCTGGGGCTGAAGGGTAGATGGCAGGATAGGATGGAAGCAGATCCCTTGTCCCTCTTGGGACAGAAAACACCAGGGATGAGTTCTCATACCTCGTCCAAGGATGGCACTTTTCCTCGGCGGATGACACATTGGAGAAGAAGCCAACGGGGCAGGGCTCACAGATGGTATCAGAAACCCCTGTAGCTGGGAGGGAGGAGGGGCCATTCATCATCACAATGGACTACCTGTCTGGTTCTCGGTCTCCCTGCTTTAAGCCTCTTCCCCAGTGTAGAGCCTCCACCACCGTCACTGCAGTCCCTAGGAAGGCTTCTCACACTGTCCCCCACCCCAAAGGCAGATACCCTGGCAGGAGCCGGAAGGAGAGGGTTCGTTTCCTGCTCTCTCTAGGAGACATGCAGGTTGTAGTCTCCATTCCCTCCACCTCTGGGCTGAGTGCCCATTGCCCAGCACCTTCCCTTAGGCCCTCAACTCTTCCCGCCTGTCTCCAGAGCTGATTCTCCGACAAGCCACTCACCCATCTCCTTGACCCCAGAGCCAGGGGGGCAAGAGCTGTGTGGGGTGCAGTAGTCACAGGCCTCGTTGACACAGTGTAGGCCTTTATCGCACACGCAACTCGTGTCTGTTTCCAAAGTGCCTTCACTCTGGACCAGGAGTCCTGCATCTGCGCAAAGATGGGTGGGAAGGATGGGGACCCTTGCTGGGGACTCTCTGAGCCCCACTCCTCACACTTCCTGCTCTTTTGTTTTTCGTCTTAGACTCTCTTCCAAGTAGGGGTAGCAATCAAATTATTTAGTACAGCCTGGACTCCAATCAATCCAAACAGACCCTGGCTGTCTATTTGGGGGGGAAAAGGAATGGCTGCATTGTCAAGAATGAGCTGGAAGTCCTAGCTGGTTTGGCTCAGTGGACAGAGCATTGGCCTGCAGACTGAAGAGTCCCAGGTTCGATTCCGGTCAAGGGCACATGCCTGGGTTGCAGGCTCAATTCCCAGTAGGGTGAGTGCTGGAGGCAGCTGATCAATGATTTTCTCTCTCACCCCTGCTGTTTCTCTCTCTCTCTCCCTCACCCTTCCTCACTGAAATCAATAAAAATATATTAATTTTTTTAAATAAAGAGTGAGTTGGAAGATCAGCCCCCTTCCCAAGCACCGGTCCCCCACAGCCCACACACTTGGTTCACAGTATCTGTGCGGGTGGCAGTGCCTCTCGCTGTTCCAGGTCGCCATGAATTCGCCTTCACTGCAAAGGACACATTCCGTGTCGGTCAGCTCCGTGCAGTCACTCACCAGTTTATGTTCTGGAAAAAGCATCAGGAAATGAGGCAGCTCTGACCAACTCTGGGAGTCAGACACTCACCAAACACGGATCAGGCTGGGCTTTAGGGCAGAGGATTCAAAGGTGACCATCTCAGGCCCTTCCAGCCTTCAGAGTCAGGTCAGGGGTCGGGGGTGAGGGCCAAGGAAAATACAGGAACCTGAATCCCAAATAGGGACATTCTGACAAGCAGGGCAGGGATGGGAAATCCCAGGGGCCATTTGAGACTCGAGTTCCCAGATGGTTTATGGAAGCTGCATCTGCCAGCAAACCACGAGGGTTCCCACGAGGAGGCTGGAGGTAGGCGTCTCACCTGGCGGGCACAAATTACAGCACTGGTCTTTTACGAGGTATTGCTTTCCACTGCATGCAGTAGGTGGTTCTGGGTGGACCTAAAAGCAGAATTGGGCCATGTGAAGGGATCTGGAACTCTCTGCTGCAGCCGCCTTGGCAGGAAGGTGACAATCAGCCGGGAGAGGGGTTAGAGCGGAGGTGGAAATCCAAAGCAGAACAGTGGGGCCTGCCTCCTCGTCGGCATGCTTATTTTTAACTAAACTGCCAAAGGATGCGACGGTAAAAGCGCCCAAAGAATCATGCTGGTCTTTTACAAAGCGGCAGTGCTTGAACCTCACAACCGTTTCGGAACTACACAGATCTTCCTTTTGTCTGGACTCCTGGCACTTTCCTCTTCACAAAGATTCAAAAGCACGTGAGGGCCCCAGGACCTCCCCTGGAGCCCAGAGACCAGCGGCTTCAGCCAGTCCTAGGCCTCAGGTGGGGCTATATTTAGCACCTGGCCTGCTTCCTTCTATTATTCTTCTCTCCCCACCCCTTTCCCTCTCCAAGCCTCATCGTGTTTTCCCCCTCGAAGCCCTCCCGCATGAAATGCCAGAAAATTGTGAAGCTGGGAAGATAAAAATCCAACACTCTCACTTTACAAATGGGCAGACTAGCCCGGCTGGTGTGACTCAGTGAGTGGGCATTGACCTATGAACCAGGGGGGTCATGGGTTTGATTCTTGTTCAGGGAACATGCCCAGGTTTCAGGGTTGATCCCTGATAGGGGGCATGCAGGAGGCAGCCGATGGATGGTTCTCATTATTGCTGTTTCTGTCTCTCTCTTCCTTTTTCTCTGAAATCACAAGGTTTCACATTGATAGCATCTGAGTGAGAAAGCAGATCTCAGTAATCTCCCTCTCTCCATCAGCTTGGCTCTCACCCGCACTTTTACTACTTCCAGGTACGACCCATGCTATGAATTACTTCTCACTAAATCAAATACATTTTTTTCTATGTAAACCTCCTTTTATTGCCATGAGAGAGAACCAGTCTCATGCTTCATAAATAAAAGGTAACGGTAACCCTAAAAATAAAATTCAACAGCACTAAACAACGTTATGAACCACCAGCTGGTTGCTTTGCTTGCCGATGCCCTCCACCCCAGGCCTGCTCTTCATTTTTGTTTTAAAAGGAGGATTCGCAAGCACTGGGGAAGTATTAACTAATTATATGCTGGTTCCAGAGACTTCCTCCTTCAAGGAAAAAAAATCAAAGGATTTAAAACAACCGTAACGCGCATCTCTGCTGTTGAGTTCTGTGTGCGTGTGCTCCCCGCAATCACCCCACGCTTTGGGAACGGTGGTGAAAAGGGCACAGGTTCAAGAGACAAACAGCTTAAGGCTCTTGGTCTTTGCCACACTTACGAGCTATTTGCTTCTCTTCCTCCCTAAGATGGGGGTGATAACACGTGCCCCACAGTTCAGATTGTAAAGATTAGAACGAGCATTTGTGTGTGGCCTGGCACCGGGTCTAGAACATAGTAGGTGCTCATTAAATTTCAGTTTTCACTATTGTACATTTGTGAGGATCTGCTTGACTGTCCAGTGTCCTGATTCAATGGCTGGCTGTTCAGGATCCTGCCTAATGGGTGGCTCTCGGTCAGCCATTGCTTACAGAAATGTGTCTTACCCCAAGCGGGGGCAGAACCAGAAAAGGCTGCTGCCCCCATCATCACACCCCAACATTCACCTGTGACGGTCTCCCTGCAACACCGAGGACCTTCCCCCACGCCCCAGAGCCATGAGAGTCCGTCGTGCCATTCTCAGACACATGAGAAATACGGTTCCTCCTCTGAAAGGTGCTCAGGCCCCAGCTCCCACCACATAGCTCCAGTCCTTCTGATACAAAGGCGCTCAGGACCAAGGCCGGGACACTCTCACCATCTGAGAGGCAGGCTCAGGTCCAGGCAGAGGTAGATTTATATGCAGGTTTATAGCCTAGCTCTGAGAAGTTTGCCAGGACATTGCTTCTCTCTGAGCCTGGGTCCTCGTTAAAAGAAATGGGGAGTTAAAAGAAACCAGACAGAGAGCACACGGAAAGCATTTTCCTCAGAGCCTGGCACACAGGAAGCTCTCAATAAGTAGCCGCTGCCATTGGAGTTGTCACAGTCCAGTCTCAACCTGGAGCCAAAATTGGGAGTCTTCTCCTGAGAAGCCAAACCAGCTTCACTCCCTCCCCTGGCTCCTCTCCCTCCTGCACAGCCTCTCTTCTTTCCAGCCTCGCCCGCCCTGCCCCCTGCTCCTTTCTCCCTGGGAGTTTTGGGACCAAAGTAGCTTCCCCGTTAGCTCTTCCCTTACCAGCCACTCTGTGGCTCATTCCTGCTCAGACTTCACCAGAAACTACAGCCCCTGAGAGCAGGGGGAGACCAGAGGGGTTGGGATGAGAGGGTGAGGTACTTGGGGGATTCCGGCCTCCAGAATGAGGAACTACAAAAATACACTTAAACAAAAAGTGAGACAAATGCAGGCTTCTGAAAATCCCGGAGATATGCTTGACTGGGCATAGCTGAGCCCAGAGAAGCCCTTTCTTGGATCCCCTGAACTGTTCATCTCCCCTACAGGCCCCCTAGGTCGTCTTGAACTCGGATGCGGAGACATGGCCTTGAGCGTTCCTCCTAGGTTAAATCACCCCCTGTGCCCACAAGATGCCCTGGAAGAAGGCAACCCGGCTGGCAAGGAGATGATAACCACTCTAAGAGCTGGCATCTGTCCACACGCGAAGAGACAGGAAACCAGCCGGACCCTCCCCTTCCCTTGGCCCGTCTTCCTTCCCGCTGCTGGCCGGCCCTGGAGGCAGACCAGACGCCCGCCTTTCCTGATGCAGGCTGGAGGCTCCCCAAACCCGCAACCCCATCCACGCTGTCCAGGCACGCTTCCTGCAGCGCGCCTACGCCGCACCCCCTGTGGGCTCCCTGGAACCCCAACCTGGGAGGAGAGCGAGGCTGCCGGCCTAATGCAGCCAGGACTCCAGGGAGCCAAAATTGGGGGTCTTCTCCTGAGAAGCCAAACCAGCTTCCGCCCACCCTTCTGTCCTCAACAACATCAGGTGGGAAGATCCCTCCCCCGAAGTATTGCTGCTCTTCCCATTCCCCTCACAAACCCCAAACTTCCCCCCGCTCCGCCCACGGCCCGTAGGGTCGGAACAGACATCCAACTCACGGCGGCTAGCCAGCAGCCCAGGAGGAGACTCTGCAGAGGCAGGCGGACCATGGCGAGGTCAGGAGCGGGCGGCAAGGGGCAGCGCGGGACGGACGTCTAGTAGCTCCCGGGCCGCAGCGGTGGCCCCGCCCACTGATGGGCGTGGTCTCCAAGAGCCAATCGCGGCCGGCCTCGCTGGGGAGGGCGGGGTCCCGGCGCCCCGCAGGTCTGGGATTTCCCCAGGATCTTCCCGGGTTCAATTTTCCCCGGGAGTTTAGGACGCGCTGGGAAAGGGGCACGGAGGGCCCCAGGGACCGCCCTTCCTCCTGAGCCCCTGGGACTACGAAGGCCGCGCTGGAGAGAGGAAGGAGCCATCAGGCTTTCCAAGGGGCCGAGGGGAGGGGAGCCCCACAGGTGCTGGGAAGACACCCCAGGGACCCCCACCGCTCTCACCCGGCTGCCGCCTCCGGGAGTCCCAGCAGAACTGAAAGCGTCCCCACCGCAGGCGGAGAGGCCTAAGGAAGTTCCCCCTCCTCATCTCCAAAAACAGAACGGGAAGGCCACAGCTGGCGTGTGGGGAGGAGGACTGGGGAGGCGTTTCAAGGAAAAGAGTTTCCCTCTGAGAGTTTCGCTCTTTCAAAGGAAATTCCCTCGTATATGCCTAGCGTCCCTGCCTCCCATCCATCCATCCATGCATGCATCCATGCGCCACCCCACCACCACCACCACCATCACCAGATTCTGTTCCATCCCAGTTTCTGTCCCTAAGCACTAGGACCCCTTGAGAATCTTAGGAGACTCCGACCCTCTTGTTCTGCAAAACCTCACACACACCTTTGTGCTCACCTTTCTCCAGTCTGGCCCTCCAAGCCTTTCCTGAATCAGTGTGAACAGTCTCTGCTCTGCAGCTCACCTGGTTTCCTGGGTTCTACTCTAGGCTCTGCCTCTGATGGGTCCCCAATGAAACCTGAGGAACTAGAACTAGACAGTGGTTGAGGTTATAATTCTCCAAGCTCTGAATTTCTGGACCAGGCCAAAAGACCAGGGTGTGCAGAGCTGGGGGGGGGGGGGGGGAGGGGGGAGAGGGCTGCTAACCTCTTCTGGCTTCTGATGCAAAGCGCCCTGTGGATTTTACTTCTGGAAGCCATCTTCTTTTCCATCACCTCTGCCACCACCCTCATTCAGAGGCTCGTCATCTTTCACCTGGACTGTCCCAACAGCCTCACTCAGTCAATAAATATTATTGAGCCCCTGCTATGTGCTAGGCAATTCTAACAGCTTTCCTCTCTCCGTCTTCCCCCTCCCCCCACCCCCACTCCATTTATACTGCAATTCCTTTTATAAACTCCAGATCTAATCTGACCAGGACACTGCACTGCTTAAAAACCATTTTGGGCTTTCCCAGCTGGTGTTGCTCAGTGGTTGAGCATCGACCTGTGCGCCAGGAGTTCCCTGGTTCAATTCCAATCAGGACACATCCCCACTAGGGGGCTGGATTCCCAGCTTCAGGAGGCAGCCTATAGATGTTTCTGTCTCTCCCCTCTCTCTCTAAGATCAATAACGACATATTCGTTTAAAACAAAAACAAAAACAACCTCTTTGGGCTCCCCTATACCCTCAGGATAGTCCTAACTCCTTCTTGCAGAGCCAGCCCTTCTCCACTGCGCCCCAACCTCTGTCCCCACTCCACACTCACTCCCAGTCATGTCCTCCCATGCATACTGGCTTCAGCATGCTCACCTCCCAATTTTCCAAACACACAATTGTCTTTTCTTACTGTGTCTTGCTGTTTTCTTCTTTCCCTTGTCCTTCCTAAAGCCAATTTAAATATCGCCTCCTCTAAAATCTCCTCTTAACCACCTGAGACATGGCTAGATACTCTGCCCCACCTTCCCCCCTCTCCCATGTCCCCACAGCATTATCGTACTGGGCTAGATCTCCACCTGCCTGCCTACATTGGATTGCGGATTCCTTGAAGACAGGACTAAACCTATCCCAGTCCTGGGCACATGATAGAATACCAATACACGATCACTGAGTGAGTGAGTGAGTGGGTGAGTGAGTGGGTGAGTGGGCTCAGTAACTTATTCTAATCACAGCCTCCATCAGGAAGGACATGGAGGCAGGTGCTGCAGAGCTGATGGTGGTAGCACAGACCTCAAGCTGGTGGTCAGATGCCAGCAGTGGAGGAACACTTGAAATCAGTGTCCAGGGGATTTCATGAAGCCATCCAAGCTGGCCCAGAATGAAGCGAATATTAAAATATATTTTCCGCTTCAAAAAAAAAAAAAAAAAAAAGCACACTTTTCATTCCCTTCGGGTGCGGGGGCATCACTATAATAACTTTAGTCATTATTTATTCTTTATTTGCTTGATTTCAAAATTGGGCCCTTCACAAGACAGCCTTGGAAAGCAAGCACACAGAATTAAGAACATGAATTATATTATATAAAACATATCAGAGCGGCAATTAAAGCAGCTTAAATTAATGTGTGAAAGAATAAATAGTAATCTTCGGTTACCCCGTGGGGCGAAGACCAGATAGAATAAAAGGAAGATATTTTAGTATATGTATATCCCGAGAAAACATGTGCTGGCAGCCACAGACTCAAAGTAGGCATAGAATCTACTTGGGCTGGGAAGAGTGTGTCGGAGAAAAAAAGAGAGAAGACGATTTATGGGGGACGGCAATATTTCAGAATCTATCAAAGAGAACTATGAAGGGTTCAGTGAGGGGAGAAGAGTAAAGGGCAGTAACAGAGTGGGAACCCAGGATTTTGGAATCTCAGAGAAAATGGCCTTCATGGGGAAGTTGGGGGTCATGGGCTGGGGGAACGGGTAAGAAGTGTGTGTGAGGGTTAAGTCCATAGCACTACCACAATCTGGCGACCAGAAGGTTCTACTATGCAAACCCCATCGTGCTGCTCCCAGATTTGAAACAACTCCCCCAGAGCCCTCACAGGGCCCGAGGCCATGGACTGCATGTCTAATCGTCCTTTCTGCCTTCAACTTGCCGCTCCGGACTGTGGTTTCCCTTCTGCCTGTAAAGCTCTTCTCCACTCTCCTTTTACTGGACCAACTCCTTCTCATCCTTCAAGGCTTCAAGGTGCCCCTTCTTTGGAAAGTCCTCTCCACCAGCCAACCTCCCTGGGCCCTTTCAGCTTTCTGCGGCTGCTTACCTATGCAAGACGCTACATTTCAATTATTCTGTTTACTCATGAAACCAGTGTACCGCAGCGACTCAACTCGGTGGGGCATAATAATGAAGCTTTCCTCCTTAATCTCAGCCTTAGTCCTGTTGTGTTGAATCTCCCTGTTCCATCCCTTAATGACATCTCCAGCAGATTGCATTATTTTTGGATCACTTTCTGTTGTTAAACCTTCATCTTTGAGAGCTTTATTCTCAAACTCAATTTAAATCTCATTTTATCTTCTCCCTTACTTACCCAAAGGTTGACTGGAGCCAGGTCCCTGCCTGTTTGGATAAAAGGTTTTGTTTTGTTTTGTTTTGTTTTGTTTTGTTTTGTCTTGTTTTGGGGAAAAGCATGGTCTGGTTGAGAGATATGCCCCAGCACCCTCCCCCTTATTGACTGACATTGAGAGGAGGGAGTGGGAATAGCCCTCTGCCACAGCCCTCTCCCTCCTGTCAACACTGCTTCCCTAGCCAACTCAGAGTGGCAAGTGTCCAAATATGGTTCCTCCTGAGGCACGTTAAGTTTCTTGGAGGCTTCCCCACTGCCCAATTCTCTGACAGAGGACATCCAGCTCAGGTTTGAGCTCTCCTGCCTTGCCTCACTACCTAGGCTCCTGCCACTGGGGAGACCCTGGTCCACAGAAGTCAGACTGCTTGGTGGGATATCAGAAAGCCCAGCTAACTACTGCAGGTTCCACTTGACCCAGAGAAGTTCACGCATTCTGGCCAACTGCTCCATAGTGACTCCTCTCTCCACCTCTCTTCTCCCCTGCTCACATCTGCACGGGGGACATCAGCAAGTCAACAACCAAGTAGATCCCACTGGGGAACAGCATCCTAGCATCCTTTCCTGCAGTCATCCCTCAATCTCCATGAGAGACTCCCAATTAAAGTGGGAAAGATTGTCTTTCACTATAACATACGATATATTCCTCAATAAAACCAGAGAACTCCTCCCTCATCAGTATTATTAAATGGACGAGGAAAAAGAATGTGATGTTTTGACTAAGATGGAGGGTCAACTCTGCCCCCGTTAGCAAACATTCGAGGGAAAGTATCGAGCTCCCAGTTGGAATGCAGAGTATATAGGACATGTTTGCTTGGCCATGGGCTAAAGTGCCAACTCCTAAGTAGCAGGAGCTCCCATTGAATATCCTTTGGACTGGGCCATCGATCCTACCTAACTTGATTCCTAAAAAGGAAGATCTTTATAGCCTGATGCCCACAAATAGCCCATGAACATGATGGATGCTGAACACGTGTTTGTTGAGTGAAGGTGGGACTATGAGACTGAAGGGATCCACCTGCTCATTCCATGCTGTTCTGGGTAGCTGCCAGTCTTCCCCAGATGACTAGCCTCTCCAACTGGCATTCCCGGGTCCAACTGTGGACAAAAAAACATATTTTCCTTCAGCTCAGCAGAGTAGGGTTGGGATTCGTCAGAGGAAACGGAAAAACTCAGGAAATAACCCAACCAGAAATTAGGAAAACCCAAGAGCCAGCAAATCAGATAGGTGGGAAAAACAACAGATGGGCGAGTTTACAAAGTATAAATCTTCATCTTGATCATGGCCTAATCATGATTTGATTGATCCTGATTCCTAGAGAAGGAAACCCTGGGTCTGGTCCTCAGCCTTCAAGGGCTCTGATGTCTGGAATAAGAAATGGCTTTGGTTGGGAGAAGGTAACTCAAATTCTTCACCGTGGCCTCAAGATCCTGGGTGATCTCTGGTTTCTACTGACCACCCCCTTCACTTGCCCACTTGCTTGCTATACCTTACCCATTCAGACATCTCAGTGCTCACCTCAAAGCCTTTGCCCATACTGCTCCCTCTACCTGAAACGCCCCTCCCCCCACTCTTCATCCACTGACTCTGCCTCTCACCATTCAGGACTCCTGGCAAATGGTACCTCCTGGCCCTCCTGGATCACCTTATCTAAGGTGAAATTCCTCCACTACCAACCCACCTTCCCCACT